AAATTCATAAAACCTCCTGCCCCTCTTTCACCTGAAAATGTTGGAAGCTTGTTGGCATATGATGCCAGGCAAAGTTTGTCGAAGGCCGTATCTAAACGGTCAGTAATGTCGTCCTGATGCATGTCGATATCCGGCTGGTGTGCCGCCATTGGTGCTTGGGGGTAGTATGTCAGTAGTGGGCGCGGTATCGCAGGGATGTGGATCGCTGTCTTCTAATGAGGGATTGAAGAGGAAGAACTGTAATTTCCTGAAAGAGGGTTGAGCTAAATTTTTGGGGGTACGGACTTTGATCTGTTGTGCCTTGGTATGGGTTCTGGGTAGTTATGAAATAGGGGTGGTAGAGAAGAAAATCTGAATCGGGTAACTCTTACCTTTTCTTGCTGGGAGAGTTGGGGAGATGAACTCTGGTTCCCCGTTTTACAGTTTGTATACATGGTGCAGTGACTCTATAAGGTCGTCCGTCCGAACTGTTAGTGAATCGGAGTAGATGTTGCTCATAGAATTGTTATTGGGTACTTCGTGGGATTTTAGTGATAGGGGAGGTGAATATATATATTTTTCGTTGCAGAACTAGATTATATAAGTTTTTATCAAAAGGAAATTTGTACCTGATATTCCTCCCAGTTCCTAGTTGCTATCGCTTTGGTAGAGGCTGGGATTGTGGCGTCGTTGGGTGGAGGCGTCGCCTTGAAGAGTTGATCGATGATTGACTTGAAGAGGCCTTGCAGGGAAGAGCGCTCACGAGGTGAGCTGGTAGCTGCGAGTGGTTGCTGAAACCCGGCGGGCTCTTGAGTACCTGCTCGTTGCAGTGTAATGACCCTCAGGGTACGCCTTTCCAGCAACGCCCTCATCAGTAATTGGATGGGTTATTGTGGTTTGGACGGGGGCTGATAAAGGAGGAAGGACCAAAGCTTAAAAACGTAGAGATGTTGTAAAGGTGTAGTTGCATTGAACGCGCGTGTTTCTGTCCGTTTTTGGTCCTACTTTTATGACTGATCTCATACTTGGCAAAAAAAAACAGTAAAAAATGGAGGGAACCGAATATTTTGTAGCAATAGCTTTTAACGACGAATTTATGTTGTTTTTAGGACTTCTCAGAGAACAGCGGCCTCTTTTTTTAAACTTTGACAACGAATTACTGGACTACCTTTGTATGGGCGAAGGAGAGTAAGAAGAGGGATTTAATAAATAGAAGAATCTGAAAGGTTCGTCCTTATGGCTTCCAAGAGTGTGGTGGGATGGGATATCGTGGGAGTCCTATTAAAAAATTTCAAACTGTAATTCCAGGTTGCGCCGTGTTGTGGCCTTCGAACAAAGTTGGACTTCCAATGGGAAGGGGTGCAGGTCCATATGCTTGGCTTTGCGTCGATCCAGAGAGCATATTGAACAGTATTTGGTTTGGAAATATTGGATTTGTGATAAAATCTTACCTGTCAGGTTGCGCCGTATACCTAAATCTTGGTCCTATCTTGGACATGATTGCTAGGAAATGTAGAAACTGCTAAATTACAAGAAAAAACAAAAAAAATTTGGGGGGTCTCAAAGAGTCAGTTTGGCTTCCGTTACGCGCGGGCCCTTAAACGGAAGCCAAACTGACTCTTTGAGACC